AAACAACACTGCATCAATACATTTTTGAGATAACATCATCAAGTTTTTACATGGGATGAACAAATTAATTTCAATTGCTATTTTTGCTGTAATCGTTTGTTCAATCTCTATTTTTTATCTTCTCAAAAGTTCAAGGAAGAGTAGATCCTAAGAAAATTTTAACCCGTTTCCGTATCATTAGAAATGTGAAGCTGTACAAATAACTGAAACATGAAAAACATAAGAAACATGTGACATATGACAATATAAACTTCAAGCCAAATTTATTTCGCTAGCGTTTTGAGAAAGACGAGTGTACAAATTTTGGTTAAAGTTTTATGTGCAATAGTTAAACTCAAATCCATAAGGTTGTAACCACTCCCTAGTGTAAATTTTAAAAAATTATTCAGTGTAAATCTGTCTTTTAGTAACCTGGTGACATATCTGGTGACCTGTCAATATAATGTCAGTTCATTCATGTATTCGCGACATAATTATGATTACGTTCGACTTCACTGCAAACTGCAATTCTTGCACTCCAGCACAGGTTATTTCATAATTATCATTGTAACTTGTCGCAATATTGTAAAAATTGATAAACAATTTTCAATAAAAACAGGATAACCTGAGTCTTCATTGTAATTATGATACAAGACCAACGATAAATAGAAACGTGTTTTATCTTTCATCTGTAGAAAGAAGAATGCCACCTGCTGTAATTTAGACTTGCAGTCGATACGTTTACGAATTACGATAAAATGAACCCAAAAATATTGTGGTCACGAATGAAATCAAATATTGGGCTGGTAAAAAAACAAGGTGAATTGATTTATTTATTGTTGCTGCTTCATAAAAATTACTTTACAGATGGGGAATAACTGAGATACTCAGAATTTGTTTAAATTATTGTACATGATACGTGATAATTATATGTGTGGCTAACTATGATATGATATGACTCGAAGGACCAGCTCTCTCGACTGAAATGATCAATCTCGCGAGCAACATCAAAATTGTCTATAATGGGTAGATCACCTTAATTAGTCGCAACGGATGACCAATTTTTCATCAAAAAAATGGGACACCAACAAGTCTTTAATGTTATGTTTAATAACTCTAATATTTGGTACTACTTATTATTTACAAAATGTACAAGGAATTTGGTTGAAGGCGATAGGTCTGGCTATGCTCCTCCATCCTGAGGATTTTAGTGGTAATAATGAACAAAATGTAACTTCACAAAATTCAGCGGCTAAAATAATCGGTATGTTGAAAATAATTTGACGGCTTATTTAAACTTACTGTTACAGGAGTGGTTAGAAACATTGGGAACACATAGACCAAATAACCAAAAAGCAATTATTTTTCTGTTGTTAACTTTCTTAAATCTGAATCCCATGGATTTTAATACTCGATGTAAAGTATTTAAACTTGCTGTATATTCTGGATGTTCTTTCGCAAAAATAAACAAATCCCGAAGAGTAAAAAACTCATTTTTTTTTGTTTTTGTCAAATATACAGTAGGTTAGATCTTCTTTAAATTCCAAATTTGAATACCACTGCGATTTTTGTTTTGGTTTCCACTTTGCTTCTTATAACGGTTCTCCAGATTGGTGTTGGGTTATAATTTTGTGGGCTTGACATCGGGAACACTATGGAAAGGATAGGAATTAATGATTAAGTTTACAGGGAAAGTATGCAGTGCTTGAATTTAATGAGGGACATTTAGTTGTATTGTTTAGGATATAAAGAGTGGGTACAAAACTTGAAAAGACAATGTTGTACTAAAAAGCGATATACACTTTCAACTTGAGGTAGTTAAAACTAAAAGTCCTTCGACAGACCACCATGTTGTAATAACATGAAAAAAGTTCCGAATGTCGATACGTTACTCTCATAGTATAGTACTCTCTTTCCATGGTATAAGAATAACTACATACTGAAAAGATTTTTACAAGCTTGAATTCAAGTTATCGGGAGGATGCTTGGGGATAAGCAAGTTTCAATTCATTGTGGCAGTTGGCAAGTGCCATTTTCATCTGCTTATTTATCACAATGTGCCGTGCTGGTACCATTTTTCAATGATATGGTTTAATAACAAACTGTGAGATATTTAAATAAAACTCTCTCGTGCGTAATTGTCAAATTTTGACACATGCGCCGTTACCAATCTGTTCATGTGAAAAACACCATTGGCTGTAATGCCAACCTTACAATTTAACGAGTGGTTACAACCTTATGGATTTAACTGTAGTTAATTTAAATGTAGATTATAATCAATTTATAAAAAAATTATAAGAATTTAAAAAACAAGATAATAGGTGAATCGTAAGGAATTTCTAAAAATCAACAAATGAATTTGGCTTATATTTATTAAGAAAGAAGTGCATAAACGGTTAAATTCCCTCCAGAAATCAGACATCAACAAAAGGAACATGACGAAGATGTATGTTGTGCAAACGCGATCCTTTGTAATTTTGTTTCGTAGATTAGTTAGAAGATAATAGGTACCTACGTGACCCTCAGGGCGTAAACAGCACTAAAATTCTAAACTGGAAATTCCCTAAGCTGCATACTGGATGACTGTATGACCAAATACTCCTTTAATTCTAATATTCATGACCTTTTCTCACGAAACGCAAAACCCTTTTTAGATTTTAGCTACAAAGTCTTATTTTGTGGCTTGTTTAGTTATTATTTGAACGACGGTATATAGATGAAGTAAGCTTGCTAGAAAGTTCACAAGCTGAGAACAGTAGAATTTCAGAACTCTTCGATGTACATATCTACTGGCTTAATTTGGTGGCACACCCTAATGTACAATTCGGTAAAATTTGAAGAAAATCAGTTGAATCAAATGTGATTAAGTAAAAATGCAATACAAATCGACAAAATTCTCAAGTTTTTAAAATAGATATTATTTTTTATTGAAGTTTTCTTCACCAAAAAAACACTTTTTACACAGAAAATATATTGTAGAAAGAAAAGTCAACAGTCGTTATCTCGGGTTAGGCAAGAAAGGTAACTAAAGGCTGTGGATTAAATTCTGAGATTATCTCAGTGATGCGTTAAAAAAGTTCGCAATGTTCATAAAATTAAAGGACTCGTGCTATTTATTATCTAAATCAGATTTCACTATTGCAACTTAAATTTATTAAGTTGTTCAATATATAATATTAATACAGCATATGCGAGTATTTATTAAACTTGTTATATTATTTTATTCAGAAAACACAATAGTAAAACTTTAGTACCTAATGATGCTACACCTTGTATAACATTACATATAGTAAAAGATGTCCGTAGAGACCGATGAGTTCTATTTTGTCGCAAACATTGCGCACTTAATAAATGGACCAAATAGTGAGTGGAAACAGACTACATCTCGGACAAAAGCCGCACCGGACTCCGGATTACACCTGCCATCAAAAGAGTTATGTGTTTGTTTTACGGAAAATCCGTTTATACAACCAAAGAAAAAATGATGACGGAAATTACATCATTACTTTACTTTTTTCATGACTCTTCTTTGAAACTAAAAATGAATCATATTCTTAAAAAGAAAAAAGAAAAACAAAATACAATGAAGAAAGACACAATCAATCATTTCACATGAGTTATATAAAATTATTCTTTTGTTTAATAATGTTTACTTAAAGAAATATAAAATGAAACAAAAACGGAACTCAAAGAGGGATTAAATAAAAAGAACAGACAAACAAAACTTTGCAAAAATTATGTGGAGGCAATGATTTAAAACATAAGGTTTAAATCATTAAAACCATATGATCGAAAAAAATCGTCTAATAGCCATAAGATTTATTCTAAAATAATGCTGTCGGCAACACCAACGCGTTCCTTGTTGGTTTGCCAGCTGCTATCAAATAACTGTCAAATAAACTGATAGCAAATAGCTACAATGCCAATATTATTATTTTAAAAATAAATTCCTGGCCTATTAGATGACATTTTTTTTTTATCATATTGCTATTATTACTTGGCTTACTATTTATTGGGTTTACTACTAATGACATTTATAGAGATATATTTTAATTATTCCAAGTATTGTTGACAAAATTTCATTACACTATCAACCTAGTGTCCAGTCTTCTTTAAAAAACGATATGTTAACCTCAGTAGAATCACTTGATACAGAACTATACGTTGATGATATTTTTCGAGTAATTTTGGCTGGTTTGTTGTGAAATTAAACTCATTTACGTTGTCGCAATCACCAAGTTTTGCAATTCTATCAGTTATTAGCAAAGTTGTCATTTAAACGTCACTTATTGTATATTGTATTGTATGTAATAAAGACATACATATTTTTTAAGAAACTGATTTATTTCTATAATTTTTTGTCCGCAGTGTTTTTAGAACCTGCTAAATAATAAGTGGATAACAATTTAATTTAACAATTAAAAAATACGTATAAATATAATACATACCATAACAATCATAACATGCTTATTAAATAGGATACAAATATTCTGAATTTCAGTAGTTTATCTTTATAAATTCAAAGCTAGGAGTGGGAAGAAATACTCTGTAAGCATTAGAATATTTCACCTGTAGCCTGTACGTAAATGATAAACTGTGAAAATTTTGTCTTAGAACAATATTGTTTTCGTCCTACACATGAATCCTACACGTCTGAAACATTGTTTTTGATCGCTTAATATTCTTAAGTGCTAAATTGCATGCTTTACTGTCAAATTCCAGCATTACAGTTCATAGAAACTTGTGTGGATTGAAAGGTCGTTTGTTCTAATGCTTAAGTTTAGACGCTTAGTTGTGCTTTGATTCTGAACCTCTTGGACGGGCGTGAAATTGTTTTGAAATGTTATCAGAAGTGAACACTTTGTGTGATTAATGATTATATTCAAAAAATTATTTCATGCCATAAGTAATACCTACTGAAAATATTAAATGATACAATAATTATTCAACGTTCAAAGCAGTTTTAGTGTTTTTGTTTTAATTTCCTTACAACATCCCAGTAATTGATTTTTTTTCCACAGATATCGAGGCAGTTTCCAGTTCGGTAAAGATGGACTCGCTGACGTTAAATTTCGAAAATTGTCACGAATCTTGGTTTGTGGAAGAGTTCCGTTATGTCGTGATGTCTTCGGTGAAACTCTCAACGAAAGTAGAGATCCTGATCACGGAGTGTCTGAGCGATACACATCCAGATTCTTCCTTAAGCACTCATTTTTAGAACAAGCTTTCGACATGTTGATAGAACAAGGATTCAAGTTGGCTGGAAGTTGTGGATCCGGAACAGCCGGAAATGCTGCTGAGCCAAAACCCGGTGTCGATACCGAGGAGAATCGCTGGAATCATTACAATGAATTTGTGTTTGTGCGAGATTAACTTTGACCACTTGAACTTTATTCAAATCCTCTTCATATCGCATTTATTCAAATTACTAATGAATAATCATAGAATCATTTTAGGTAGGTAGACGACTAGATGAAAATTTATTTTTCTGGAAGTATAAACTTGTGTGAAATTTCAAGTGACACTTTATTATATCCAGAACAAACACTATGAAAATTAGCTCTTCTAACATCCTCAGTATTTTGTTCTCATTTGCAAGATGGATTTTATTTACTTTTATTTTTTTGAATGGAATCATTGACCTCTGATTTTAGCAAACTGTAAAATTTAGGATAAAGATTAGATGGTTGCATTGGTAAGACAAAGCTATTGTTCTGTAGTTCTCATCCAACTTGAAACATGGAATGCTTAAATAAATACATGTAAATATTTTTTATCTACAAGTAACAAATCACTCAATAAAAAGATAATTTTTCTGATATTTTTAAAATCCTGTTATGTTCCATTTGTTGAACATTCAAGCATCAGTATTTTGGAAAAATGTCGCAAATGATTTATTATCAAAGCAATATTTTAATTTGTTCTAATAAAATCTCAGTGGGTACTAAATTATTATAAAGGTTGTATATTTAGTTTTTACTTTTTTATGGTTATACAGATAAAGCATTTTGCGCGATACACCCTACGTACATTTTTACACGGAAAGCAAGTGCAAAATTTTTGTTTCGTCGAATATAAATTTTGGATTGCATCAGAGTATACAGAACTGAAATTATTAGGTTGGCAACGATAAAAAAAGACTGTGATTGAGATTCACTATGGAGTGGTGTGCAAACATACATGGTTTTGATGTTTTTTTTTTATATATTGTATATAAAGAATTTACAAATAATATCTTTTCACCATGGATCTAATTTAATTAAATCATTTGTATTTTTTTGCTATTATTATTAAAGCATTTCTCTTTTGTAAGAAACGTATTCCACGTCATTAAATTCAAAACAAAAAAAAAAACATACACAAAAGAAACGCGAGAGGAATAATTGTTATTTTCCTGGTTTCAGTAGCCAGATTTTAAACGTAATGAATATCTTACACTTTACAACTACATATCAATCGTTGTCGAACTGTTAAAGTAATAATTATTTTAATAAATTCGTAAACATTTTTAGGAGTGCCACCACTGTGTATTAAGCTTTCATAAATTATATTCAACAAAATTTTACTTTTCGAATCAGCATTAAATTAGCAACAAATTACCAACAAATTGTCTGTAATAAATATAGCATAAAAAAAACGTATTTTTTATTACATGAGATAAGCTTGTGTAATATAGATATTACCTTAAAATTTTTAGTATTTTAAAGACAAACCGGGAAATACCGTGAAAAGAAAAATTCCACAAAGAACAATATTTTTAACTTTTAATGACATTGCAAATAAAATATTAAATAAGGGCACAGGCGTAATAACTCAAAAATCCCGTTTACTAAATCTCATGTTTTCGAATATTAATGAATGCGTGCTTTGAATTAGGTTGCATCTAATAAAATTAATTTTTATTAATTCGGGTTTTTGGAAGTTATACGTTGTTACTCTATGTAGAATATGGTCATAGCCTGTATTTAATTAACTAAAATTTATTCTAATGATGGTATATACTAACTCTGCTCAATAAAAATGGAAATTTTAAAATAACATAAAGTCGCGATCTTTTCTATACAACCACTCCCTAGTGTAAATTTTCAAAATTTGTCTGGTGTAAGTGACCTTGACGGGTTTCTGGGGGAAACAGATGTGTCAAAAATTTGACAGGTTAGATGGCCCCATTGTCAATGTAGATATTTTATTTTAATAAATAGATGAACAGAACATACAGTCTGCACGGGATACAGTGCGGCATAGCTGAGGGCAATCGAAACATTCGTGTTGTGCTAGTTTCGATTGCCATATCAACTACCGCTACCAACCGCGTTTGGCGTAAAGTACTAGATGACAGGGCTACCAACTTGACATTTTATCGAGTGGTTCCGTAGAAATGACCGCTACTGTATAAGGTCGGTTTATGGAAAGCGAATTAAATATTTAATCCTAGATTAATTTAATAGAGGATTAAAATGTAGAATATGAGCTCGTGATTGGTTAAAACATGCACGTTGCATAGCAACGGACCTCAGTTAAAAGTTAATCGCCATTAACTTTTAATTCGCTTTCCATAAACCGGCTCTTATTAGGATATTAAAAAACCGCTTTATTGTAATTTTATAATGCAATTTTATTAAAAATTATAAAATATTTTATACTCGTATTAGTTCACGTTTTTCCGGAATAATTTTTTACTTGTGTCTTCTGAGTCTAGTAATAAATAACACATTAAATTCTGTACAAATAATTATTTGTAATGATTACGTTTAAGTAAAATTTACAAATAAAATTAAACGTAATATATAAAGTTATATTTCTATACGGTGAATTAATTTCATATAAACAGGTACTTTAACAATATCCGTATTTTTTTTCGTTCAAGCAGATAAAAACTCGGAATCAAACCTCATACTTGTACATAGTTTATCAAATCGAAAATATCAAAGCATGCGTTTGGACATGATTTTATATTTTTTTCAAACACTTACGTACAACTTGTTGCACGTTGTCAAAGGATGAAAAATGTACGAATCGACCTTCTTTTATATCGCCATCAATTCTCAGGTTTATATTTCCACGAAATACGTATAACTTTGTTTAATAATGTATATATTAATTATTAAATTAACGAGTTTGAAATATGGGAGCAAATCACTCTGTACATTGGCCCTAGAATGTTTAATAAATTCATTAATTTCTTTCACTTTCCATATCATCTCTTAGAGGTAAATAAATTCTCATTAAACGAATTTTAAATAATGAGTATCTGCAAAAGATATTTTCGAATTAGCTTTGCAAACCAGTCAATCAATTAGTCGAAGAGTGTTTTCATTACGCATCGATTTAATTAAATTTTCCGACTTTTTGCTAATAAAGCATAATCAACCGTCAGCGTAATTAACCAAAGTTACCAGGTTATTTCAAATTGATTTGAATAAACAAATCCTGTAACCAAACAGGACCAGTTTATTTAAATTTGAAACGTGCTGTATCACTAGCTGTTATTGATTCGTTTAAATTTTATCTCCCTTGCCCTACACTCCATGTCACGTTGAACTGTTTGGTATGTTACAATTATTAATAGAAACGAATGTAAACTATATGTAAAAAATAGGCCTAAACGATTATACTTAATGTGATTTGGTTCCATTGGTTTACCTATTGTTGAAATCTGTATTAACACCCTTGAAGCGGGGCTAACAAGTGATATTTTAATTTAATTATTATCGACCCTGTAGTTGTAGATTTAGTATAGAGTCTTTAGGATGTGCTCGCTTATATCACGTAATTCACTAGTCCATTACATTATTAAGATGTTGGTTTATGTGACATCAGTGTAATGTGATAGCGTCGTAATTATAGATTATAGACATTTTCAACTAGTCTACGTTTCTAAGTGTTCCAATTTTCAATTTTTTTCGGAAAATATTTAATTTTTTTTAAAGTATAATCTGAAAAAAACTTAATCTCTTCTAATACATTTTGTTAATACTTATTAGGTCTTGTAAAATAATTATCCTTTCCGAAAAAAGTGAACTTATTGCGTTGGACTGTGATATAAGCGTACACATATTTCCAACCTTAGTGGTTTTTTGTAAAGAACTAAGTACTGTCATGAGTTTTTTAGGAATTGATTTAATGATAGTGATAATGTAATTTCAGAGTAGACATAAAAATAAACAATAGTTGATTTTGATGATTTGTAACTTTAAATGTGTTCCTAGTCCGCTTTAGAGAATGGTACCACTGACACACTATCAAAAGTATATTTTTAAAATTGCTTTCCTTTTTTTTTCTCTATAAACACGAAACTAAGCATAAAATATTTATGAGAAATAATTTTATAAAAAGTAATATAATATGAGTAAAGTTCAAAATTTCAGCTAACGGGTGGGCTAAAAGTAATTAGAATAATGTGTCGCAAGATGGTATAAAAACAAACAACATTTTTACATTCCGTTTCCGTCCGTCCGTCTGTCCGTCTGTCGGGCTGTCTGACGTCTATCCCAATTTTAATGAAGTCAGATAATCTCCGAAACTACTGAACCGATTGTTGTCATATATATTTTATATGTACAGGTTGAGTCACTAAGCGCGCGTTCCTCGTTTATTCACTAATTATTAGAAATAGTGCGACAAAATTTCGGTGGGATGGGATGGTGTCGGTTCGGAATTTCGCCGATAACGCGTGGGGGCGGCGTGCCTCGGTGCCAAGCCTTGGGTCGACTAGTGCCGCTGAAATAAAAACACGTCTGACCGACCTAGGCTTATGCGGACACCTTCACGCCACCGGAGATGGCGCCTTCGGTCAGAGGTTGTGGTCGTTCGGGCGCCAACTCCCTCTCCGTGGGAAGGAGCACCGGGGTTGCTCCCAAGCCGGAAACACGAATCTCGAGGTGGTGAGCGCCCGCAAAAAATAAGAAAATAAAATAAAACAAAACAGAAAAATAGTATATTACAATAAAGTGGGTTGATTCTTTGCCACCAGCTACATGTCTAAAATAATAACTCTTTTTCCTGACTTCTACAGATTTTATTTAAATGACATTAACACAATTGATTAAACATGACATACTACTTCGCCCACTGACCACTTCAAAATCCACTTGAAAGTGAACTCTGACAAAATGTTATAGTCGGATGGTACCTTTCCATCTAGGGAAATGTTGTCAATTCAAGCACCTCTCTTGTGATGAAACTTGTTGCCGGAGTTCGTATAATGGTATAATGAGCCTGATCCACTTGATCGTTTCTGGAATTCATTATTTATCTAGAAAATTCTTCAGGTACAATGCGGTTACGATCATCAAAGGTGCACCGTGTCCAAACAACATCATTTTACCAGCCATTGTAATCAGCGAGAATTTTCCACGTTTTTCCTGCAATCTTAGCTTAGTTGATATGATAGACACACATCTGAAAGTTTGGAAGTAGAATGACAACCTATTTGACTTAAACTAGATAACTTTTATCAAGACAGTATCTACCATGTACACTGTATAGACTAGTTCACAGCTTTGAGCACATACCCAGCACAGGGGTATAATTAACCCAGTGAAGTGAATTTTATTGTGTTTCCTGAATATTTAATTTTTAAAACTCATAATAAAACATATCACTCTTAAGGCTTTTGATAAACTAATATTGATTTAAAATAAACAAAATTGTTAAATTATTTCAGAAATTAGTCAACAATTTTCAAATTATTCTCCATAACCTTGTTTTTCAAATTCATATTTACATCGCAAGCTCAATTGGTTTATACCGGCTAGCTGCAATCTATACATATATTATAAGGTCAATTGAATACGGAATCAGAGTCTAAATTGAGGCAGGCAATAATCATGCACTGACGACTCCAGCTAGTTTTAATTAGCTTTCATAACTTTCGATATCACGTTCAATATACATATAATCGGGCTGACAAATTTCAAAACCACCGTGAAATTGCATAAAATGCATCAGTTTAAAAAAATACTCCTTTATGAAGGTGTATAATTAATATATTTAACTTCACTAAAAGAATTAAGGAAAGCAAAAAACAAAAGAAAATGTATTAACTCTGCTGGACGGTGCTTAGTAGCTTTAGAGCCCTCAATTCATCCTCGTCTGCAGAAGGGTCACGTCCTTCTTTTTCCCTAAGCCGCGAACGCGACAAGTTTTATAACGCTTCCGTTGTTTTGATATTAATAGTTAAATACAGTTCGTTTATCTAAAGAAGTGATTTTTTCTTTTTTTAGTCTTTCGCATCAGGTAAACAATACGATATAGTAAAATGCCTTTTACCGTATAATTGCTCCATGTATGCCCAAATCTATACGTCAGTCTGTACTCCTGATTATTCTTTAAAATTTTAAAGAAACATATTCATTTTCAACAAAGTACGCTCACCGACCAAGTTTGTTTAAAATATAAATAGCAATTTTACAGTTTTTGTGGACGAATCGTTGCTGTTTACGGGCGAGGCGTAGCCGATGAGACCGCAACTACTTTTTTAGCTACGTGTTACAAACAACATTTTTTAGTTAAAGTTCCCCAAAACAGCAACGATTGGTCGGCAAAAATTGTATTTTAGATACTAGTCCAAAAAATACTCATTTTACGGACTTATATGAATCCGTAAAATAGCTATTTTTGGGAGAATAGTATACCAAAATAGTATATTATTATACCAGTTTAATAAGACGTTCTATTGTAAGCACGAGCTGTTTGAGACACGACGAGCGCAGTGAGGAGTACTTTAAATTAATGAGTGAAACAATATGTCGTAATTGTCGTATTAAACGGGTTTAATTTTTTTTTTCTACTTTGCTCATGATTTTATAAAATAAAATGGAAAATCTGGTCACGATTGTTATTTGGGTTTCCCACATGATGTATCTAGATGGCAACTTTGTCAAATGACATTAATTTGACGTTTGTGTGAAATTTAATTTCAAATTCATATCGAAAAGTTTTTTAAATCTGGAAGTGCTTCCACTCCAGCTTTATTAATGAACTCTCTACACATCATATTGACCATGATAAATGCACATAGAAATGTTCATTCGTACATCCTAAATATTGGACTTAAAACTCATCAGCAATAGTTATTTACATTACAAGCGTTGAAAGTACCGAATACCATAACCAGCTATAATCTGGCTCGAAAAAGTGCATATAAGCGAGTTATTTTTTGTACTGCTTTTCCAAAGTAGGTTTTTTAAGAAATAAAATTTTAGTAATATTACTAGTCCATCGTTCGTATTTAGCCTGGTATTAGCTTTGTCACTAATAAAAATAAGTCTCAAATAAACAACAATTGACAATACATAGATATTTACTTTAATCATGGCCGACTAGTATAAAGATTATGGCCTGTCCAGAGGTACCATACGTGCTGCCATCTATTAATAATTCCAAAACGACAAAAGAATTATTAACACTTTTTGAAAGGCACAAAGGCATTCATACCGAAGCAAACCACCATTGCACGTTTTGAAGTCTCATAATGTCAAATCAAATTAAAATTTTGCTAAATTATTAAGTGTAATTATTAATAGATGGCAACACGTATGGCACCTCTTGGACAGGCCATAATCTACTAGTCGGCCATGCTTTAATTAACCCAATGCAACATATCTTTGGTTTTTATTGTTTTTAAGAGAAAATTAATGACTTCGCCGCGTATACGTGTTTAATTTATATAAATTGACAACGTAGAGTTAAAACGCCATCCGTGCGTCCCTGGGTCGACGCACTCTTTTTTTTGTTTCATTTGGCATTTTTAATTTTGCTTTTATAATAATTTTCCAAATTGCTATTTTTCTAAGTGTAGCTAATCTCAAAGATTTAAAATTTAACGTTTTCTCTTCATGTTATTTCGGAATCTTTACATATTTGACGTACTGTAGTTCTATAAATCCTAACAAATGCGTCTATTACGTAAAGGAGAACACGTTCAAGATCCCTTTTAAAATAACCACTGCTGAAGACTTGCAACTGGAATGACAATATCAATCTTTTTATAGTCGATTAACTTTTGATCTTTTGGAGATCACTTAAAATAAACCAAAAAAGATTTGGAATTTAGATGAACGAGATTTTACCACGATATTATGCGTACTGGCGTACGAGCATGCGGCACTATTTGTTTTACTATCGTTAAATATTGTAAATATTATAAAACAATCAAAATAAATTTAAGGAATACCACCAAGACTTGGAACAACTACTGCTGTGGGGGTCAAAGTGGGCAAGATCACTAGCACGTAGCAGTATATTAACAATCGTAGGTGATTGATTAATAAATTATACACCAATCTTTTAAAACGGTCTCTGCTTCATAATATTTTTAGATCATCTGAATTAATAATTCTAAAGTAAGATTCAAATGCAAACATATGCTAACAGCACGTTTAATGTAAGTGGAAAATAAATTACATCGTTACCTGATGAAACTTGACATTATCTGAGCATATGAATGAATAATAAATTCAGACACGTGAGCAGTAACTAGAGGATTAAAAATTCATACCTGTAAAGTCGATGGTTAAAATGTTAAATTGACTTATGCATTTTAAATCAACTGAATCATTTAGATCCCTCACAGTTCCTTTTTCTTTTTACTTGATCGAGTACCTAAATAAAAAGTAGAATATTTAAACATACCTATATTTGTACTATTATCTGAGTTAAAAAGAATAAATCATCACACTGTATCATAAAATACCTAAATCCACTGTTTCAACATAGAACTTATTTTTATCTAAAATCTGTATGCAAATTTATTTCGAATTTTAAACACCTACCACTGCATTACTGCATATAAACACCATTAATGAACTGTTTAAATAGAGTTTTTCCTAGTAAAATGTATCATTAATAAGAGTTTATTTTTGTTTCTAAGAAAATTATTATGTTTAGAAATTATGCAGTGTAATTGTAAGTAGATAAGCACTGATGTGGGTGAATTTTTATTTCACCATATACAGTGCATCTTTTTTAAAAGTGGCCGTAGGGATTCCCATGTTAAATTTTAGACCTCATGTTAACTTTTGTTAGGGTGAAAACCCAGAAATGATTTTTTCTGTGAAAATAGCCTTATTTCCACTACCACTTTTTGCAGTAAATTATTAATTTCTGCTTTAAAAAATTAAAATTAAAAAATTTTGGTACATCATAGAAGGTTTTGGATTTTAATTTGTCATTTTTGCCAGG